ACCCTTCAGAACTGCTGCAAATCCACTCGGATGCCTGTGCTGCACACATTTCTTTAGGACCAGCAGTGCACTGGGACCCCTGCCAGCCACTTTGTCTTCAGCTTGGCTCAGAGCTGGGCCTCTTTACCTAGAGCAAGTTTCCTTCCTAGCTGCAACCCCCTCTCCCTCCAGGTGTTCCTTTGCATTTTTTTCCATCAAGAGGTTATTTTGTTTCTGCTCCCATCCCACTGTATTTTCTCTCCTTGCAAGTGTTGAGACATTTTTCTAATTTGGAAGCCTTTGGATTTCACTGGAATGCTTATTTCCAGCTTTTCAGACGTCTAGTTCACTTGACACATGCATGCATGAGGAAGCACTGACCCCACCCCCAGCCCCTTCCTTTAATCACAGCTTGAGCAATGTGGCTGGTAAGCTGAATTCCAGAGCAAAGATTACTCTCTGAAAACAAAACAACAAATGAAGCCTCTTGGGAAGACACATCCCTAAAATTGTGTTGTCAAGCTGACTCCTTCAGGTGAAGGACATTCCAATTAAACCTTTTTTTTCTGGGCCTCTACAGCAGTGGTTCTCAACCTGTGGGTCACAATCCCTTTGCAGGGGGGGGGGGTGTGGGGAGTGGAACGACCCTTTCACAGGGGTCACATAACAGTTATCTGGAATAGAGGATATTTACATTATGATTCACAACAGTTAGAAACATTACAGTTATGAAGAAATTTTGTGATTGGGGGATCACTACAACATAAGGAACTGTATTAAAGGGTCATAACATAAGGAAGGTTGAGAACCATTGCTCTGCAGAAATAGCCTGCTTGTCTCCAAGTCTAAGCATTAACTGTCTTGCCTGGGCCTCTCTTCTTACCAGCTATAGCTTGGGGATAAGAAGCACACCCTACCAGTGTGCGCTGAGAAGTCTCCAGACAAAGGACCTTAGCCCCGAGCACGAGTGCCTGCTTCAGGAATCATCTCATTCCCCATCATCCTGGTCCTGGGAAGCTAGTGCATCTGTGAAGTTGGAGTTCTTCAAAGAGGGCACTGCCAAGTAAAGCCCACCCCATTCCTAGATACAGAAGGACTTTGTCTTACCTGGTTTTGAATGGACAGAGTGACTAAGATGAGCCCATTTCTAATGGGGGTGGGGAGCAAGCCTGCAGGTCCAAGGAACTATTTCAGAGTACCCTGAAAATATTCCAACAGCAGCAATGACAGCACTGCATTCCAGATAGTTTGAATATTCGCTAGTCTCTAAAGGCCTGGTCATGGTTGTAATTTTGTTACACGCATACAGAGAACATGGGGCATTTAGCAACAGAGGATTCTCTGTGGAGTGGTCATGAGTTTTTATTATAATTTTCTCAGAGCTTGGTATAGGTCGAAACTTTTCTTAAGCAAAAAAATTTATTAAAATATCAGTTCTGACTTCTACCCAACATGCATATATATGCATATATATATATATATATCAGTTTTTGAGCTGTTAAAACTTAGAAATATGAAACAATAAATCTTCCAGAAGAAACTGTAGAATAATATCATCATAGCTTTGGGGTAGACAAAAGATTTCTTAAACTGGACAGAAATGTACTGAAAATTAAGGGAAGAAATGTTCAATCAAGTTACAATAATATTAAGAACTTCCAGTTGGCAAAAGATACCTTTAGGAAAGTTGAAAGAGAAGTCTCAGAGTAGAAGAATATATATTGGCTATCACATCAAGACAACAAAGGAGAAAATGGGCAAAAGACTTAAGCACTGCACCCCCACAAATGTCGCTGTAGAGGGCTGAGGGCTGAGGGTGTATGAGTGTCAGAATGTTTGCCCAGAAGGAGGGTGGCACTGGGTTGGGCTCTCAGCAGTGCCAGGAGAGAGGACTACGTAAGCAACTGTGAACATGTTCTCAATTTAATAATTCATCGGAGAAATAAAAATTGAATCCCAATGAAATGCTCCTTCCCAGCCATCAGGATGGCGCACATTTATTATCAAATGTTAACAAGACTCAGGAGCAATGAAACGTCACACGCAGTGCCAAGGGCTGTTAATTATTAGTGATGCTTTATAAATCTGTGATGTCTACAAGATACATACACACACACACACACACACACACACACACACACACTATGGGAAATACATCTATTCAGGTACTCATATAAAATAAATTTATTTGATTTCTAAAGAAAGGCATAATCAAGAAAGCTTAAAACCAGTGTCATATATAACTTCCAAAACTTATAAATAATGCAGTTTCCTATTAATAGTAGAGGAATAAATAGACGATGGGGGCTCCCACCAAACAGTGTGTCATTGAACACTAGGAATTGACAAATCACTTTCGTACATGTCATCTGAAAGTGTCACCAATTTAATGCCAGTCAAAAGGATTCAGGCAAAAGGAGTTCCTACGATATGGTCCCTACTGTATAAAGTTATTTTTTAAGAGCGTACTAGCAACCATGATGATAGAAGTTACAAGGCTAGATGTCTTTGAGGAACTCATGGCCTGGAGGAGGCTTGGGGGCTTCTGAGGTACTGAGTACATCTGTGCCTTGAGTTGCATGTGGAATACCTGGCTGTGTTCGTGGGTCAAAATGCATTTAACTGCCTAGGTAAGGCCATGTGAACTTTCTGCATGTGTGTTTTGCTTCAACAAAGTTTAATAAGCTGAAAAGAAGGCAAAAACCTAAACACAACTCTTATTATCACGCTGGGCCAGACAAGCTCACGACAGTGGGTCACAGGAACAGACAGGCAATGAGTGCTTGATCATGCTTGAAGTGGAGCGAGGCAGGAAAGAAAGCCAGGAGAAGGCTGGGTGGAAAGAACCGGGGTGACTTGAATGTGAGAGGACCATGCGTGACAATCAAAGGCACACGTTTCTCCTAACCAGTCTTGCTCCCCCTCATCTGTGGCATAGAGGTCTGGAACATGGCCCATCGTGTTCATGCATTAAACAGCCTTCAACTTCTGCTGCTTGGAAGGAAAGAAGGAGAGAAGAAGAAAGAGAAAATAGAGCTCTAATGCTCACGGAATGGGTTGCAAGGCTATTTCAATTCAGACATGTGTCAGAGGGCAATCACGAGCTAGAGGTGGGGACGTTGTTTTAAAGGATTTCACTACCACGTGTTTACCGCAAATGGAAGTCTTCACTGTCTTCATACAGGGCCTTTAGCGACCTGGGACACTGTGCCCTACTCCCATGAATGACAGGCATGGCACTGAGGGCCTACCCCAGGCAGTTTCTTTCTTTTTGCCTCTCCTCCTTCTTCCCTCTGCCAAAGCAGGGGTCATGTACAAAAGGGAACTGGCAACTCAGAAGCCTGTGACCACCGTGGGTGATTAGACGGCTTCTGTAGCTCTGCTGTAGTTTTCGGGCAAGCTCACCCTTCCTGGACTCCTTGCCGTCTCAGAAGGACCCACAGGCTTCCCCTAGGTGCAGGGTTTTGAAAGCTGAATTCCCCAGTTAAGAACAGAGTACTGCAAATAGCCCACTTCTGTGGAACTGCGATCGAATGGGAAGCTTATCCCATCTGGGGATGCGGTCAGCACGTGACTAGCATTCGTCCTTGGTCACTGAGAAGGGGATATCCCCATCCCAATCCCTTCATGCCATCTGCATGATGTGTGAAACCAACTTCCCAACTTGAATGAGGAGAAGCTGGGGTTGATGAAGCCCCTTTCTTCTTTTATTTCTTTTATAGCCTGAGTTGTCTCCCATTCTCCCACCCCTGAACTTCTTAGGTTGAAGCCTTAACTCCCAGGACCTTGTGTCTCATGTGACTATAACTGGAGATGAGGCCTTTTGAGATAGATTACAGTAAAGTGAGGAAACCTAGGCAGGTCCTAGTCCAACACAACTAATGTCTTCATAAGAGAAACTTAGACCCAGCTAAGCCTTGTGGATGGTACACTGGATACACATAAAGACAGCCATCTATAAGCCGAGAAGAAAGTCCTCAGAGGAAAACGACCTTGCCACTATCTTCTAGCCTACAGCAATGACAACAGCTATCACAAACCAAGAAGAAAGTCCTCAGAGGAAAATGACCTTGCCTCAGCCCCAGTCCTGGATTTCCAGCCTCCAGAAATGGCAAACAATAAGTCCTATTATGTAATTTTCCTTACTCTCTAGCACTGGTTCTGGAAGCCTGAGGAAATTAATATTCCATCCCTGCCTTGATATTTCCTGGGTATCGTATCTGTTTGGTCTGTGAACAGCCTGAATCCACTCAAATGGCTAGCAAGCTTTCTGTTTCAGACTTCATTCAAGTCCTGGCTTTGACATTGATTCATACCCTCATCTGGGAAGTCTTAGCCTTGAGTTTTAGGTCAATGGTTTGACTTCTAACTATGGTCTCAGATTCCTTTTGCCCCTAACTATCCCTGGCTTACATTCTCCTTTCAGTCCCAAAGTAGGAAAGCAACTTAGCAAACCGCCCTTTTCTGCCTGCACCCTTTGTCAGGCATGCCCATACGGGACTGGCCACTTGCCAGAGTCAAGGAGAGCGGGAGGAAGGTGGAATCATTTTACGTGGCAAAAGACGGAGGCCATTCTCTCTCTCTCTTCCTCTCTACAACTTCCTACTGTTACAGTTTGAAACAGAAGGTTGGCGTTGGCTTGGGTCTCAGTTACTCCTGCGGGGTATTCTGATAGACGGAAGGGTGTCCAACTGGAGGAGAAAACCAATCTCATTCAGAATGATCCTTTAACTGTTCTGAAGCCTGGAATGGGCCTGTCTTTACTAATCCTCACTGTGGCAGCCAAGAAACTGAAGGACTCTGTGGCTAGAGGCCATGTGCTGCGATGGCACACAAATGGCTCTCATAGTTTAGGTGTCAGGATTGAGAGGGTCTGTCCTTGGCACCCAAACCCTATTGCTATCTCCTGTTGTCCTCATTAGGACAGTAGAGACTTAAAGCCAAGGTTCACATGAGTCTGTATGCCGAATCTCAAATTTTTGAGCAAGCGTCAGCTGGGTAGAGACATGGTTTGGACTCACCTCAGTGCACGTCAGATCTGAGGAGGCGATGGCTTCACAGCTGGCTGAAAAGAGCGCCACTAAAAAGAAGCAGCTGATGTCCAGAGCCATCCCAGGTCCAGAGCAAGCCCAGCTGGGTCGGATTAGCTAATGCTCAGAGCCAAGCCGTATAATCACGCTCTAATAGCCCTGGCGATTTGGCAGGCAGAGAGGTACTCGGAAGGTTGATCTTAAGCGGCAACGCTGTGTGAACCGCTCGGCATTTGTGGGTCTGCGCTGCAGAAGAAGAAAAGGGAAGTTCTTTTTGCATACCAACCATCCTGGCCAAAAATAACTGAGAACCCTGCCCCAGGATGGCCCAGTGCATTTCCTGACCAGTGCGGACCAGTTGCATAGCCCTTAGAGACTGTGATGCTTCCCATTGGCCAGATGCCAATTTCAAGGGTTTGGCCCACCCTCCCGACCTTCTAGTCTCTCTCCCTGTGAGAGGCTGGAAATGCCGGAATCTGCATTCATGTCGGATACCACTTTGCTAGCTGTCCTTCGGGGTGACTGGGAGAAGTGCTGAGCATGCTGGCAGGGCAGAGAGCTCGGCTCCAGCAGATGGGAGGGCTGCAAAACTGGGAACTAGGGCGGGAGGTGACAGTTTCCACAGTTCTGCTAGCTGAACCTCAGCCCCTTCCTGGAGCGCTCCTGATCTTCCTATGGAAGGGGATTGCTTTCTCTCTTGCCCAGGTGACTTAGGACTGCTGTTTTAACAGCTCAGGAGGAACCCCCTTTCTGCCCTCACACCTGGCTCAAGTTAAACAAAACAGCTTTAAAAGACACAACAGCCTGGCCAACGCAGCAGAACTAAAAATCTCAACTCAGGGTCCCTTTTCCCTTAGAAATAGTTTTGAAGCCTTGGGCTGTACCTCAATTGGTAGAGTAATTTCTTAGCATGCATGATACTCCAAGTTCAGCACCCCAGCACCAATAAAGCAGTCGTGGGCATAGTCCCTTAATTTCAGCATTAGGGAGATAGAAGCAAGAGGATGAGCAGTTTAAGGTCATAAGAAGTTTGAGGCCAGCCCAGGCTGCAGAAAACCCTGTTTGAGTAAGGAGAAGGGGAAGAGACAAAAGAAAAAGAAATAGAGAGAATCCATTGAAAGAGTGGTAATTCTTACGATGGCCAAGGTGCAGCAGGGAAAGAAAAAGTTCAAGCATTTACTCAGTAAATACTTAGCTACCACAGGCCTTTTTCTACCCTTGAACCAGCTGATGTATGAGAGATAATTGGTGGTGCTGTTCTTCCATTCCGCTTCTAAGAGCCCAGTTCCTAGTTCAGACTCTACAACGACCTTAGATACTACATGCTATGTCACTGCCATCAATAAAGTGACCAAAGTCGCTACCACTTATGTTTTTAATAGACCAGAGTTCTTCTCTCTCTCTCTCTCTCTCTCTCTCTCTCTCTCTCTTTCTTCTCATTTTATAGTTACAGAAACTGCAAATAGCCTCTCGAAGACCACATCACCAGAGCGTGGAAGAATGGGGCTTTAGATCCAGGTGGTCTCACATAAGAGACACACTTCTACCCTCAACGGCAAAGAGTAAGTAGCCTCCTAAAACAGCTAAACAGCAGCCAGAATAGAGAACGTTCACCTGTCAATCTTTTTTTTTTTTTTCTTCTTTCTTTGAGACAGGGTTTCTCTGTGTAGCCCTGACTGTCCTGGAATTCACTCTGTAGACCAGGCTGGCCTCGAACTCACAGAGATCCACCTGTCTGTGCCTCCTGAGTGCTGGGATCAAGGGTAAGTGTCACCACCACCAGGCTTTGTTGTGTGAGGCCACTTGTGTGTTTCCAGGCCACCTAGGGGCTCAGACCCGAAATAATCACATAGAAACTATATTATTTAAAACACTGCTTGTCCAATGACTCTAGTGTATTTCTGGCTAACTCATATCTTAACATCTCCATTAATCTGTGTATCGCCACAAGGCTGTGGCTTACTGGGTAAAGTTCGGGTGTCTGTCTCCAGCAGGGCTACATGGCTTCTCCTTGATTCCGCCTTCTTTCTCCCAGCATTCAGTTTAGTCCCCCCCCCCCTTAGCTCTATCTGCCCTATCACACAGGCCTAGCCTGCTTCTTTATTCATTAACCAATAAAAGCAACACATAGACAGAAGGACCTCCCACATCAGAAATTGAAAATGGGCCTGAAAATCTCACTTGGGCTATAGTCCATCTGTTCTCAGTACCTAGGCATTTTCATGAGATTCCATCCTTGACAACAAGCATACCTCTGAAGATACCAATTGCAAAAGCATGGTCTAAGCCAATAAAGGTGATGGCAGGCCGCTTTACTTCAGAGAAGGCATCCATTATGGTATGGACCTAAGGGTGGCTGGTACCAAGCCTCTGGTCTACTGCCTACCAACTGAGTGACCTTCGACACTGCACTTCAGAGAGTAGCTTCTCAGCTGAAAAGCCAGAGCTGCCCTGCTTACATCACGGGGTAATTATGAGGATCAAATGGGATGATATGTAGGAAAATGCTTTCCTAACCTTAAAGCCCTACATAAACATAAAGAATGTGAAGTGAAGCCTGCTCTGAGCCACCAATTCCAATGTCATGTAAATATCACTCCCGGGAAATTGTCCCCTACCCCAGAGACTCTGAAAAGGCATATTACTTTCTGTCTTCAAGAAAGGTCTGATGGCTCCGTTAAGGCCGTAAGATTTTGTCATTTTCTGAGGCCACAGCATTTGCATATTATTTGCGTGCGTTTGCATAATGGATTCAAAAGACTCCCTGCCAGTGTATAAGAGTAAAAGAAAATAAATGAACGTGAGTGACCTTCTGCCACAGCATTCAAATCAAATATTCAGGGCATAATACCCTGAAATATGAAATAGATTAAAATTTAAACTATTGCAAACAGATAGGAAGATAGGTTTTAGAGTTCAGAGGCAAGAATGAAACCCTTATTTGGTTCCAGATTGTAAAGAATCATATTCTCCTAAAGGTCACCCCATTCAAATGATTTTCATGCCTCAGTTCCCCCTTCCACAGGCCTTGCTCCTCTGCTGTGGTTAGACCAGAACATACTGCACTATTTTTCTGTCTGCCCCGAAATGCCTCAGTGTCAGAAAACTCACTATTTCTCAAGAAATTGTTCTGGCTAATTTTAGCTGCTTATATATAATCTATGGTCTTCTACTTAAGTGTAAAAAAACCTTCCCTATATTGCACCCATAGTGGTCCTGGTCTCCTCAAGATAACAAGTGAGTAAATTCAAGCCCTTTCATATATACCAGCCCTATGGGTATTTAAAATGATAATGTCACCAGTCCTTCCCCTTTGTAGGTTAAAAATGTCCAGTTCCTCTGTGTCACAAGCTCATGCATTACAACCCCTGTTTATAAATACTTCCCAAATATCACAGAAAATATACTGACTTGAGTTAGAATCCCATCTTTGTCACTTACTGAGACTATTAATGATGGAATTAGATTCGTTTTTCTTTTCCTTAAAAATTTTATTTTATTTTGCTATTGATGTATGTATGTGTTTGATGTGTTTGGGCTCATGTGGAGGTGAGAGGACAATTTTGAGAAGTCGGTTCTTTCCTTCCATCTTTACGTGGGTTCTGGGATTGAAGTCAGGGCATGAGGTTTGTTCAGCAAGCACCTTTAGCAACCACGCTGGCCCTAGACTACTTTTTTCTACAAGGGACTTCTTCATTTAAAATTCCATTAATATATTCCAAAATTATAATTTCCAACTGACTCATATAACAAAATTGGCTTGAGCCAATAAAATGAAGTGACACTTGCTGTGAGTTGACAATCTGCTCTTCTCCTTCTTCCTCCAGATGGTATTGCTTCTTCTTGGCAAACAAAAACTAGAAAGGGCTAGCTGGAGGAGGGAGATGGGGCTGGGGCTATCACATTCTAACGCCAATCTACTCACAGTGCCATGATGGGCGGGGTAGCCAGGAGGAGATGGAACAACTGGATCCACACTGAGAACCATTTCTTCCAGAGAGAAAGGGATAAGCTGAGAAAAGACATCGGGAACACTTCATACTACTGACCCCTTACCAGATCAGCAGGGAGACGGCTCTGTAGATGCCATGAGTTTTCATAAACTTCGGGTGTCCTTATGTGAACTATTAACATGGATGTACATAAAGTGTCATCTATATTGTGATTCCGCTGAGGTCTCCGTGGAATTCATCTTTTATGGTCAGTAGTCACTTACTGGATGGCTCCAGCGTACCGATCCTTTTCATGTCTGGTGAGGTCTTATGATCACCTGTGTGCTTCTCAGTCAGTGGTTCTCAACCCGTGGTTCACGACCCCTTTGGGGGGAACAAGCAGCCTTTCACAGGGATCACCCCAGACCATCAGAAAACACAGATATTTACTTTATGATTCATAACAGTACCAAAGTTACAGTTATAAAGTAGTAATGAAAATAATTTTATGGTTGGAGGTCACCACAATATGAGGAACTGTATTAAAGAGTCACAGCATGAGGAGGAAGGTTGAGAACCACTTCCTTCGGTCTTTAGCATCTAAGAATGACATAGGATCCTAGAGACCTAGCTTCATCCTTTGAGCCCTTTCTGCGTGGTTATCCAAAAGTTAATTCACTTTCAGGAACATGCGAGCTAAAATATTCATTGTGACCCAAATGTGAAAAACACCGTGTGAGTCATTTCTATTTTATCATGTGAGCAGCAGTAGACATTACGATGGGTTTCTACTTTCTCCTCTGTACGCTTAGTTTTGCTTCTGCTTTTGGCTCAAGTCTGCTTCCTCATCCCACTGCACGCCCCCAAGATGGTTTTCTAATTGTATTCTTAACTCTTTGTATATGCTTATGGTCAAGTTTACTTCGGATCATTATATTTCCAAAAAACTTTTCTTTTCTAAATTGTTGAGTCAATTGTAATCATACAAGGTGTAGAGGCTTCAAAGCCCAAAGTAGAGCTCCCCTCAAAGTGACTCCCTCTCTCTGAGGTTGTATGGTGTGTTGCGGCATCTCATGATGTAGCTAAACATCTCCTGCAAATGGGAACGTGGGGTTATCAGATTGCACAGAGCCAGTAACACCGGTCGCTTCTTGAGAGGAGACACACAGAGTTTCCCTCATGTCCTGCTTGATTTT